TTTGAGTCTTTGGCATGTTGCTTTAGTCTTTAGTTTTCCAGCACCATTTACTAAAGAGGCTATCTTTCTTCTACGGAAAGTGTTTGGGCCTTTTGTCAAAGATAAATTGGCTGAGTGTGTTTGTAGTTGTTTCTGCATTTTCTGATCTGTTCTACTGATCCTCAGGTCTGCTTTTTTGCCAGTACCATGCTGATTTTATGAAGTAGCTTTGTAGTATAGTTTCAAGTCAGGGATTGTGATACCTCCTGCTTTGCCTTTATTGCCCAAAATTGCTTTTGCTATTCTAGGTCTTTTCTGCTTCCTTGTCATTGATTTCCAATTTCATTGCACTATGGTCAGATAATATGCATGAGATAATTTAAATTCCTTTGCATTTACTTAAGTATGTTCTATGGGCTAATATGTAGTCTATTTTGGAGAATGTCCCATGTGCAGCTGAGAAGAATGTGTATTCTGATGTTGTGGGGTGAGACACCCTGTAGACACTTACTAAGTCCTTTTATTCACATATTGGTTTTAATTTTGATATTTCTTTGTTGATTTTTTTGGTCTGGTTGATCCATCTAATTGTAAGAGTAGGAGTATTAAGGTCTCCCATTACAGTTGTGTTAGTGCTTATTTGATTTTTCATGTCCATTAATATGTGTTTTATGTACTTGGGTGCACTCATGCTTGGTGTATATATATGATTATTATCTCATCCTCTTGGATTCTTCCCTTAAGAAGTGTGTAGTGTCTCTCTTTGTCTCTTTTGATCAGTTTTGATTGAAATTTACATTATCTTAGAATAGAATAGCTAACACTTGTTTCCTGGGATCCTATCACAAGGAGTACTGTTTTCCATCCTTTGACTTTCAGTTTATGAATTTCTTTTTGAGTTAAATGTGTTTCTTGAATGTAGTATATTGTTGGATCTTGCTTCTTAATCCATTCTGCCAGTCTGTTTCTTTTGATTGGTGAGTTGAATCTGTTTACATTGATGGTTACAACTGATATGTATTGGGTTATTTTTTTCATATTATTTCCCTATTGTTGGTTTACTGTCTTTCCCCTCTGTTTAATTGCTTGCCCTGTTTAGTGGCTTCTTTCTATTGGTGCTCTTGTGATTGTGGTCTTCATTTTCCCTTTCTAATATATGCCTCAGTGTATTCTGAAGAGCTGATTTGGTGGTGATGAATTTCCTCAGGTGTCCTTTGTCATGGAAGTATCTTATTTCTACATCAGTTTTGAAAGAAAGTTTTGCAGGGTACATCCATCTTGGTTGTAGTTTTTCTTTTAAGGCTTGAAACACTTCACTTCAAGCTCTCCTTGATTTGAAGGTTTGTGCTGACAAGTCTGCTGTGATTCTGATAGGCTTTTCTTTATAGATGATTTGTTTCTTTTCTGTTTTAAATATTTTGTTCTTGTGCTGAATTTCTGGAGTCTTGATTATTATATGCCTTGGTGTAGATTTATTTTGGTCGTGGCTGTTTGGATTTCTATATGCTTCATTTATTTGTATGTAAAATTCTTTGTCCCAGGGGCTGGGGATTTAGCTCAGCGGCAAAGCGCCTGCCTGGCAAGCACAAGGTCATGAGTTCGGTTCCCAGTACTGGAGAAAAAAAAAAAAAAAAGAAACCAGTGGTAAAATTCTTTGTCCCTGTTTGGGAAGTTTTCTGCCATTATTTCTGTGAAGTTTTTTTATGGCATTTATGCTGTCTCCAGCTTTCTCATGATCCCTAATCAATCTTATGTTATTTTTCTTTGCACCATCTTGTAGCTGTTGAATTGACTTTTCATAGTCTTTTGCAATTTTAAGATATCTTTCTTTTCATGACCACTAGACAAAATTCTTTCTTTAAGATCTGATATTTTTTCCTTATTTTCATTTAATCTGTTGTATATAGTTTCAATACAGGTTTTAATCTCTGGGATTTCTATTTTGATCTGCTTCATGGATTCCATTTTTTTTCTATGTTGAGTATTCAGGGTTTCCATCAATTTACTAAGCTCTTCTATTCTTTTATCTGTGTCTACTCTCTTTCATTTTGAGCACCATTTTTGTACCTGAGAGATTTTTTTCTACATACTTTTCCACTTTTTTTTTTTCACTTCTGTTTGCTATCATTTCAGAAAGTTCCCACTGTTTGACTTCCAATTTTCTTTATCTCATCATGCTCTGGGGTTATTCTGGGTGGGTTGGGGGTGTGGGGTTGCACTTTGCTTCTACATTTGTCATTTTCTATTTTCTCTTGTTTATTTTGTTTTCTGTGTTGATGCTTTCCAATTTCTTATGATAGATAGCTTTATCACTATTGTCAAGGCTTCCCTGGGAGATATATGTTCTTCAGTGATGTCTTCTAAATGTAAATGGTTCTTTATTCTATCCCAAGTACCTACCTTCCCAATTTGTTAAGGATGAAAAACTACTGTTTGGCTCAGCACCCAGTCCTTTGGTACTGGGCTATGGTGATGATTATGACTCCATACAATCACAGTATTATCATACAAGGGATAGAAACTGATTATAGCATGTATGACATCCTGGCTAAAGTAGTACAATTAGCAATATCAATAGTGTCAAGTATAGCTTAGCTACTAACAAACTGTGGTAACTATTAACCTGATATCTTTAACCAGAGGAGCAAATTCTAAAGTTACATAACAAAATCCAACATATAACAAGTACTTATATGCAGTGATTTTTCTCCTTAGTGGAGTGATTATTCCCTTATGGGGGTGGGCTTAAGACACATAGGGAACAAGACAAAGTGACGAATGAGGTTAAATATAGTAGAATCGAGGCTGGGGGTTAAAGTATGATCACCCAAGTTTTGGGAAACTGGAAGACACAGAAGGGAAAGAATGAAAGAGAAAGTGAAGGAATATTAAAGTGGATCAGAAAGGGAAGAGACAATGTTTACTCCACTTGAAAGTATCATAAATTCAACAGGTAGTTGAAGAGAGAATGAGGATCAGTAGAAGAAAACAAAAAAGAAAGGTAAGAACCCTAAACAGTGAAAAAAGGAAGAAAGAGAAGAAAGACAAAGAGACCAGAAAAAAAGGAAAACAAATAACCACAAAATACAAAACAAAAGAAGACAATATTCAACCAGACAGGATAGCCCATCAGATAAACAAGGGAGAATAAAAGTAGTAAAATTCCTCTGGTGTTCACCATTCTGTAGTAGTGTCCAAGATAGATCCAGAAGTGTGCTCTGTACTCCAGCCAAGTTTCCCATGGGATTTGTGCTGGGTATGGAGCTGATATTGGCCTCTCAATGCAGAGGCTGGGGCTGGTCTTCTGTTGGTGGAGTTCTCCAGAGCCCTTTGATGTAGAATGGCAGAGCTGCCCACTTCTATTCTACATGTCTGTGTGCTGAGGCTCAACATTGGTTCACAGAACTTAGCAACTGCAGGCTCCTCACTGCTGCTTCAGACTTTTCCATGCTGCTAGACTTGCTCACTGCTCCACCTGCTGCAGGTGTGTGCATGCCCACTCCTGAGCCTCTGGCCTGGTCTTGCTGGCTGCTCTGCCTGCCAAGGGTTAGGTGTGCACCCGCATCTGGAGCCCACCTGGCCTGGTCTTGATGACTGTTCTGCCCACCCTGTAGTATCCTTCGTGATAAACTTGCAAACTGGTTTCCTTGAGTTCTGTGCGCCAATCTAGCAAATTGATTGTACTTTAGGAGTTGTAGGAACTCTAATTTATAGTCACTTGGTCAAAGCACAGGTCTCAATCTGTGACTGGTGATTAGCATCTGGAGTGGGGTAACCTTTTGGGTCTGAACCTTCAAAGTAGGGGCTCTGATGCTAACTCTATAAAGTGTCAGAAGTGAATTGAAGGACAATCATCTGGGGTCTACTAGAGACTAGCTTGGTCCCTACTAGAAAAGCCCACACTTCTGATCTGCTATCAGAAGTGCTGAGTGGGCAGGAGAGTAGGAAAAAAACACTTTCATTTGATTTCTTCCTATTGCTTATAGAGACAAACCCGGATTTAAAGCCCAGCTCTACCTCATCTTACACAGCTGTGTGACTTAGAACACATAGAAACTTTCAGAGCCCAATGTTTTTGTTTACTAACAGGTTGTCACGAACTGCCTGACACAACATTCTTTCCCTCAACTCTTTCCTTCCCTCAATGGAAGAGTCTCACCTGCTTCCTACGTGTCATCCTCCCAAGACTCAAACAGCAAAGGTGGAAAAACATGATGGCAAGGCTGTCCCACAGTTCCCATCTGAAGGATCCCTGGATTCTTAGCTGGACCCTAATATTCTTTCCCTGAGAGCTGAACCAGTAAGCTGAGCCTCTGTTCCTTCTCTCTCAAAATGCTATAGCTCTGTGGCTGTTAAACAGAAAACAACAAAGATGTACATTTACTTCCTTCTGAGAGGTAAAGAATGGAGAATGTGGTTGGAGAAGCTTGGGAGTGGGTGGTGGAATTCCAGGTCAATTTTGCAGATCTTAAAAGAAATTATTAGCCAAGTGAAATGACAAATGCCTGTAATCTCAGTCTTCCAGAAGGCTCTGGCATGATGGCTGAAAGCTCAAACCCAGTCAGGGTAATTCAGGAATTTAGCAAGACCCTGTCTCAAAATAAAATATAAAAAAAGGGCTGGAGATGAAGCCCAGTGCAAAGGTCCTGAGTTCAATCTGCAGTACAAAAAAAAAGCAAGAAATGATTGCCTAGATTTCTAGATAATACCTAGCAATCTTAGGTAACAAAAAAAGCAAAGCATGATCACATAGCGGGCCCCCCCAAAATATCATCAGTCTCTATAATGGTACATATGTCCTATTCTTCCTCAGTACACAAGGTAAATTGATCACCATGACAAACATACACTATTTATGAGGCAACTTGTATTAATTTACTCTAACATTATGTACATAGATAAATTTATCTCTTTCATTGTTCATTCTCATCCTCTATCTCTCTCTCACACACACACCACCTTCTAGCACATGCACAGAAGTGATGATGGTGGAGGAAGTAATCATTCTCTTCAATTCTTCTATTTTTTCTAATAACCAGGGGGCAAGGTCAACATGTGAGGGTGAAGTTTTGGAAAAAGGATTTTTCTCACATTTTTTATTAGTACACACTGGATATACAGGTTAATAGGTTTCACTCTGGCAGGTTCATACATGTACATAACATACTGTGATCGTTTTCAGCCACCCAGTACCCCCTTGGCTTGTCCTCCCCGCTAGCTTCACATTTTGGTGGGGTTCAGTGCACACATTTTTATCATGTCTACCCATTAACCTCTCTGAAGAGGAGGTTTTGAGGTTTGAGCAAAGAAGTCTGAACGTTGAAACTTTTTAAAATGTTCCTGTGATGAACAGTGAAAATCAGGAAGCAAATCTAATCCAATCTGTAAAGAGTCTTTTCCTGTTGTTTCCCACTGTGGCTAGAGGGCTACACTAGAAAACAGATACTAAGACACCCCTTCCCCCAAGACCTAACCCGCTATGCCTCCTGCACTACATCTCACAGAGACCCAGGAAAACAATCCCCACAGGACTAGATCACTGGAGTGCTGCTATCAGACCTCCTCTCACCCCAGCTGAACACCAGGCCCTAATGGGGAATCATGGGAGTTGTAGTTCTGTGACTATGTTGAAGCGGGACAGCAAGGAGTGCTTGGCTTTATCTCTACCCCAACAACAAGCCAGAGGAAGGCAGTCCTGGCTGATGGAGGATGAGCACATGAAGGTGAAGATAGTCTCTTGTTCCCAAATTCACTGTCTGCAGGGCAGTGTGCACCTGAGACTGACCCTGAAGACACAGGATGGGCGTACAGCAGGATAGGTGTGGTGACAGGGCTGGGACAGAAGGCTGGGGGCCACTGAAGAGAAGGTGGCCAAGAGCCTGGACAATCCAAGCAGGTTCATGCTGCAAGTTTTGTCTGAATTGGGTCTTGAAGGATAAGTAAGAATTTCCCAGGTGGGAAAAGAGAGAGAAGAGCATCAAGATGAAGAGGGGGCGGGAATACTCACTGGAACATGACAATTTGTTATCTGTGAAGACAGCTCTGAGGAAGGCACTACACAGGGCTTTGGTTAGCAACATTCACTTAGTACAGAGTGATTAAGAGTCCACTGTGTGCTCGGGCTCCCTGCTAGATTCTGCCTGGAGTGTAAGACGAGCAAACACAGTAACAAAGCTGGTAACACGTTAGAGGCCATGATAAGCAAAAGTCCTAAGAGAAGCCAGCAACAGCATCCGCCTAGGCTTGAATAGCCTGGATTACAGGAGCCCAGATGAAAAATATTCAGTGCAGCCAAGAGGTGATAGATTTAAAGTATGGTAAGAGGTAGAACAGCCTCGCAGATGCTACATGTATCCCTCACTGTGCCCAGCTATCTCACAGCTTGTCCTTGCGAGCATCTCTGAGTCTTTATCTGAAGACATTCATGTCTGGTTTTCACAAGAGGCAAGCCAAGAGCCAGGGAGTTAGCACCCTTAGGAATGGTCTTCAACCAATGTAAGATGGAAGCCAGCAGGTAAACACTTCAGGTCACTTGCCAGTAGGTGGGACAAATATGAGGCACGGGGACACAGCGGTACCGAGTCCCAGCTGCTCCAGTGGAAAACTGTATTGTTCCCTTCCCTCCAGGGTTCACTTCCCTCTTCTCTTCTGGTGCTTCCTGGAATCGCCTCTCAAATGAATGCTTTGCACTCAGGTCCCTGTCTCAGAGTCCACTGGGGGTGGGAGCGTGAGACCCAACTAAAGTAAATCAGGGGGGAAAAAAACCTTTCAGAACTATCACATAAGAGGCTCTGAGATCCAGCTTGGGAGACGCTGGCCCCACCCACAAAGGTAAAGGACTTCACTCTAAGAGAGATCAGCTCAAGAAGAGGATGAGAGTGGCAAAGCCGAGCCCAACGTGCCTGGGGGACTTTTTATTCCAAAACTCCCTCCAAACATGGTGAAGACTCTTGACTTTAGAAAAAAGTGAAAAGAAACTGAGCAGAAAAGGGACTACGTGGAAGAAGAAACCCAGAGAAACGAACCTCTCATCTCCCTAAAGGCTGATGACAGCGTCTTCATTTGACCCAAGAGAATACAAAGCCCTCGCAGTCTTTTCCAGCCGCTGTCTGTATTCTAGTTTCTCATAGTTAGAAGGACTCACTCCTTTAAAACCATGCATAACCCCCCACCAGCAGCCAGCAATGGCTGCTGTGGAGTCACTGTCCCCACCGTGGAAAAAGGCACGGTGGGCAAGCTCCTTCCACGAGTCCCCTGCAGCAAGGACGGCATCATAGGCGATCATGGGGGCGTCGTGTCCACTGCTGCCGCCCCAGCCAGAGTAGCTCAGGGAGGTGTAGAACTGATCCCTCTCCTTCACATCGAAGGGCTGCGGGAAGACAGGTGCTGACGTGCCATCCAAAATCCCTCTAAGTTTCAGGTACTTTTCCCACTGATCTTGGAAGTAGGACCTACAGGAAAGAAAAATGCACAGTCCACTGAAAAACTAAAGTCAAAACCCATAAGGAAAAAGTACCAGGTAGATGTGGGAAAAGAGAAAATCCCATGGTGACATCAACTTCTTAGACTAGTATCATAAATAGGACATGCAAAAATCAAAATTAGATCTCAGTTCTATCCATTTAATAAATATTTGCTAAGCATCTACACAAACACTGACCTGGTTGCTAAACGGAGAAAATATGTATCAAGTTAAAGGGTAGGAAATAAAGGTTTATTTTTCCTAGGTTTATCTTTCTAGGGGCAAGTTTAGCACCTCACAGCCAAGGATGACTTCAGCAGACCATCTCTGGACTTTTTATTCTGAGAAAGAGAACGTGAAGCAAACTTACCAAAAGGGGAAGATGTGGCCTCCGTGCTTATTAACTAGCTAATGGGAAAAACCTATCCCTAAGGCATTCTAAGCAAGGATTTCAAAATAGAATTTGTGTGTCAAGACAATACTGCAAAAGTAAGTTCTACAGAAGTAGGAAATAACTGAGAAAGTTCATCTGGGAACATAACATAGAATGGCCACAAAATTATAAAAAGCTGGAGCACAAAACAGGATCCCTGGATGGCAGGGAGGGCCTGCAGCTACACGACTTATCTGGCCTACTCAGTCACCTGGAGGCGGCCAGGACTGGAGGGGATCTCCAAATCCTTAGCAGGGGCCGAGGAGGGGGCTGAGTGGTGAGCACCCGAGTGGCTGCTGTGATCTCTGAATCCTAGCACACGTGCATAATGCATTCGCACACACAGACTCACCACAGTCCGGCAGGGCAGGCACCCACACACTCACCAGTGTTGAAGGTTCTCCTCCACAAAGTAGCCTGATTGGACAATGTACTCTTTAGCTGCTGGGAGCACCTCCATCAGTCCTTTTCCCCATTCCCAGGGTGGTCTGCCGTTCACAGCATAGGCTGTAAAAAGAGCAGACACAAGAGCTCCCAGGTAACCTGTTGGGTGGTGGTGGGTCATCCGGCCACTCTCGATGCTCACTTGGATCAGTGTGTCCAGCTGGCCAAGGTGAGGAAACCTGAGACCGATGCACATGGCCCGCATGGCAGCCCCGCAGCCACCTTCGTGGCTGTTAAAGGGAATCCTCCAGCCATCGGCCCGGTCCGGCTCCAGCCTCATGCTGTTGTACACTGAGGTCTGACCTAGGAAAGAGTAAGGTGGGGCAGGGTGGGAGCAGGGGTCAGTGTCACTAAAGCGGAAGCCCCACCGGAAGAAACAACTAAATTCTGTCAATGGAAAGGAAAGGCCGAGCAAATATTGATTATAATGCCTGGAAACTCCCAACCTCAATCCAACACAGTCCCTTTTTGTATACCATCCAAAGCATGATGATATTCATTTAAAGTAAGAGAAGAGACGAGGAATCTTTACCACTTATTACAGAGACAGCACAACAACTCAAAAAGGTGAATAGAATGCATTATTCTCTTTTTTTACATGAGTACGATAAGGCTCCGAGTCTAAGAAACTTGCTCAAGACCACATAACCGGCCAGTTAGGGGCCTTGTAAAAATAAGTCAGACTCTAAAGTCCAAGCCCTTAAACAGTCCAATAAAAAGCTGGCAATTGAAGTTCCTGGATACTAGAAAGAGGCCAAAGTCTAGAGTGAAGTCCCGGACCCAGGTGAAGAGCTGTGAACCTGGGTCCTTCCTACGTGAGTCCCACGGAGCCCTTGTACGGGGAGCTGCGAGTCCACACAGCATGCAGCGCAGGGGGCAGCACTGTTCCCTTACTTGGCTGGTTCATTCCTAGTAACATCCACAGGCACAGGCAGAGAAAATTTTGTAGGGGCCAAACTGAGGAGACAACCAGATGCTAAGAAAGGATGGACAGAAACTGGCTTGCTTGGGGTTATGAGAGGCCCCTGGCTATGGAAGTGTTCTGGAGGTCATGAGGAGGTGTTCTGGGCTGAACTGTATCCTACTAGCTCTCTATGTTGAAGCCCTAACCCCACTACCTCAACTGGCAGAGGCGGCCTCTCAGGTGAGGAAGCTAAACTGAGGCTCACCCAATCTGACTAGTACTCTGGTGATACGAGGGACAGGCACAGAAAGCGGCCATGAATCCATGAACACACGTGTGTGTGTGTGTGCACGTGCGTGTTAGAGGACAGTGCTAGAAGGTGGCTACCCGCAAGCTAAGAAGACAGGCTTCAGAATAAACTAGTCCTGCTAACATGCTGACTTCGACTTTTAAAAACCAGAGCTATGAGAAAATAAACGGCAACTGGTTAAGCCCTCCAGTCTATTGTTTTGTTAGTAATAGACTAATACAAGGGAAGAGGTTGGTCAAATGGGCAAGGAAAGGTGACCTGAGGAATAGTGAGAAGTTCTCAAAATGGGCAAGAACCACTTGTAAGCAGACCCAGGGTCAGAAGCAGAATATCTAGAGGACCCTCTTCCTCCCTCCCTCCCTCGTTCCTTCCTTCCCTTTCTTCCTTCCATTTCATTCTTTCTTTTTTGTACTAGAGACTGAATCCAGGGCATTTGTATTGGGATTCAGCCACAGACTTTTATTTCGAGACAAGGTCTCAATAAGTTGCTAAGTTGCCCAGCTTGGGTTTGACTTGAGATCCTCCTGCCTCAGCCTCCTAGAGGGCTTGGGTTTGACTTGAGATCCTCCTGCCTCAGCCTCCTAGAGGGCTTGGGTTATAGGCATGTGCCACCATGCTTGGCTCTTCCCACTTTTTTTTAAATGTTTTCTTTGTACTTGCTCATTATGAACTAGAAAATACAAATAAAAGGAAAATAAGCAACTATAAATACTCCTAGCAGCTATATGTAATTGCTAACATTTTTGTGTATATTCTTAAGATCTCCCCATAGAGGTACATATTTGTACCATACCGGGGGTACATATCTGTACTTTAAGCGACAGTGGGTTTACAACATACATACTGTTTTGAAATCTACCTTTTTTCACTTACTGTATAACTTCCCACATCAGTAACCATTCATCTGATAATTTTACATGGCTTCTAATGTGTCACCATAATTAAGTAAAGTGATGGACATTTAGGTTGCTTCTATTTGTATCAAACTACAAACAATAGTGTTTCCTTGACATTTAATTGTCCATCAACATTCTTAATGATCTCCTTGGGCCTACTTCATCGTCCACCTGCCTGACCTCCCCCGGCCTGCTCACCTGGTGCCCGGCCAGTCATGTCTTCCATGCAGTCTTGGTAATGCTTAGCTAGAAGCGAGTACAGCCGAGCCAAGCTGGGGGCTTTCCCGGCTTGCAGGAGGGCCTCCGCTGTGGCCAGGTGCATCACCGTGTCATCGCTGACTCGCCACTGCTCCACATCTATGGCGTCCAAGCCTCCCAGAGCAGCCAGCTGCTGGTGTATCTTCTCCCCATTCTGCAGGAACTCCCACTTCCTGTTGAAGAACCCCAAAGCATCTCCAGCAGCACTCAGCACCATGGCAGCTACATACCTTTCCATCAGCCCCCCACCCATGCTGGGCTCCACAGGGGCGGTCGGAGGGCAACTAAGACAACAGAAAAAAGAAGGAGGAAGAAGAATTAGGAAAAAAAAAAACAAGTGCTCCATCTGCATCCTATTGAACCCTCACCACTCGCAGGCACTGTGTGTAATGAATCTCATTTAATCCTCACAGCTGCTCGCTCGATGACGAATGGATTATTAGGCCTATCTTATATATGAGCAAAGTGCAGTTTCAGAAATATGCAGTGTGATGGAAAACTATGTTGTTTGGATTTTTTAAATGTTATTACAGTAAAGGACATCCTGCCATTAATCTTCCTCAAGATACAGCTTCAATCACGCTTATCCCATTCTTCTTGCCACTTCCTGAAGCAGTTCTGGAAGTACTCTTTTGTGAGTGTCTTTAGGAGGTGTGATTTTAAAAAACATGGTGAATGCAACTGTCAAATGCTATTCACTGGAAAAGCAGGCTTATAAAAGTAGTGCAGCAGCAGCATCTTATTTGCCAGATCTGGCACCATTTAACTTCTGGTTCTCTTCCACAGGCAAAATGACCATGAAAGGTAAACATTCTAAATCCGTTCAGGACATCAAGGCAGTCATGACAGCAAAACCAAAGACTCACAAAAGAGGACTTCCAGAACTGCTTCAGAAATATTCCTTGCATCTTCAGTCAGATCTCAGAGTGTTTGGACTCACTCCCCTTTAGTTCCTCAGCCTTCCAATCTGTAAAATGGTGATGATACCCTCTCTCTTTTTTTTTTTTTTTTTTTTTTTTTCTTTGCAGTGTTTGGACCTCAACCCAGGATGTTACGCATGCTAGGCAAGTGCTTATAATGAATAGCTGTGAGGAGTAAACAAATTAATTTTCATAAAACACAACAGTGCAGGCATATAATGACTATTTTCTAATGATTTTTATTATTCATCCACAATCAGGGAAAATGAGCTATTACTGAACTAGAGTACTTTCTCCCCACAAAATTCCCTTCAACTGTAATATTTAATGATAGAGCTCTAGAGTACTGTGATCTCGGCGAGTACACCCACCTCGAATTAAATCCCCAGTAAAGTGCTGGCTTCCCAAGATCCCTCTCCTTCAGCCAGTTCCCTGGGGTACCCCTATTCTTGTGGCTTCAGATCGAGGCCTCTACTTACACTTGCAAGGAGCAGAGGAACAGTTTACCCTCCACCCTGCTCAAGTTCTTTCCCAGACAACCGCCCTTCCCCGCCCCTTGCCTTAACCCTGTTTTCTCTGGGTTTGGTGCATGTCCTAGGGCCTCTGAAGTCTTTCTCCCGCTGGAGTGCTCTGGGACCCAGCCTGCCAGCTCCCGGGGCAACCCACGAAGGTAAGACTCAGCTTTCCAATACCCAGGCCCGGATCATGCTGAGTTTAAGGGTATTTGTACAGCATTATTTAGCAACTGCAGCTCTGCAGTACACCTCTAGGTCTGCCTGCCACAAATTAGTTGTGTGACTGTGAACATCCACTCTAGAGATCTACTTTTCTACCGGTCAACTGGCTAGCAGAGGAGAAAGACGCAGACGTTTCTTAGATCTTGTCTAGGCTGAGATTTTCGGAGCCCAAATTTAGCCGGCCTCTGAGAATTAATTTTTAACACCCCCAACACACACACACACACACACACTCACACACACACCACCTCGGCTATCTCTCTGGTTCCACCCCAGTTTTTAGTGCAATACGTGCCTTTGTGAGTTTGCGAGCTGGGTAGAGGAAAAGGACAAGGGTTTTTGTTGTTGCGTGTTTGTTTTTGCATGGAAATTCTGTTTCACTTTCACACACATCCGTATTGTCCTAGCCCTCCCTCAGATATTACGCCTTAAACTTGTCTAAAACTTCCGATTGCTCCTACCCTGCACACCCGCGGTACAGGGAACTGAACCCAGGGCTTTGTCACTGACCTATATCCCTGGCCCTTTCAATTTTTTTTTTTTTTTAACTGTGGGACATGGTCTCCCTAAATCGCTAAACTGCCCAGGCTGGATTTGAACTGGTGGTTCGGAGAATCAGGCGTGCATAGCCACGGGGCGGTCGGCAAACAAACCCTCCATCTGATACGCTGTCGCCCGCACCGGAAAATCTCAACCGCCGGGACACTCAGGCCGCGGCCGGCGGGGCCACCGGATCCCCGGGGAGGCGCGAGCGCGGCGAGGAGCTGCGCGCAGGGTCGCAAGGCGCTGGCCGGGGAGGAAGTTACCTGCTCGGCGCCGAGTGGAGCAGAAGAGCGCGGCCGGGGCGGAGCGCGGCGTCCAGGCGCGGAGGAGCCCGCTAAGGGGCGGCGCGGGGCGGGACCAGCTCCCGGACCTCGGCACAGCCACGCCCCTGTGCGCGCAGGGCGGGGGCCCGGCCTGACGCACCGACCTTGCCTCTGGGCGCGGTGATCCAAGTGTGCCGGCGAGGAAGCCAGAGTTCAGAGCGCGCACGCCATGCCCGATGGAACAGTGCGAGGATCTGCGTCTTACGGGGTTCTGAAAGCAAAGTAGTTCCCTTAACTGTTGTTTGCTTGGCAGCTGTGTGGGATGTTCTTCGCAGCAGTGTCAGTGGCAAAAAATAGACAATTTGGAGAAGTGTCGGTTTCCTTCCCCTAAATTATGGCTTTAACGATGGGAGGGTTTAAACCCGGAGAGCAGACATGGTCATTCTCGCATGGAGCTCGGAGACATTTTACTAAGAAGAGAGCAGTCAAAGCTTAGAATGATGAATATCATTTTATTTTATTTTATTTTGTTTTTTGTCTTTTTGAGACCGGGTCTCGCTATGCAGTTCAGTCTGGCCTTGAGCTCACTTTGTAGCCCAGGCCGGTCTTAAACTGGCAACGATCCTCCTGCCTCAGCCTCCCGAGTGCTGGGATTACAGGCGTGTGCCGCCACGCACAGCGATGAACATCATTTTAGATGATAAATATGGTTTTGTGTTTATAGAACAGAGCTCTCTGTGCATGTGTGTGTAAATTGGATTAGAAGGGAGAACACCAAATTGCATTGATTATGGTTACCTCTTAGGATGGAAACGCAAGCGTTTGCTGGAGTAGGGAGAGAAAGAAGGAAAATGTTTGATCGTTTATAGTATTTTCTGTGTTACGTGCATAAAGAAACTTTTAAAAAGAGCCACAGTCTACCACCAGGCTTATAGGCCTGCAGTCCTATGTACATATTTTTGGGGGGACAAAACAGGAGTCACTTTGCAAATACATTTTTATATCCTTTTTTTAAAAAAAGAACAAAACTACTTAGCTTTATCAGTTACTATAATTGTCTCCAAATGTTCAGATAAGTTCATCTTTTTAGAATAAACTCTATTCCAGTTCGATACAAAAATATAGGAGGCCCTGATGCTCAAATGCTTTCTTCCCACACCATGACCACAATTCTTTGAAAAGAGCTAAAACATGAGCACAGAAAGCTGAAAACCATGCAGGAATCTCTGACCCTTCACAGGCCTGCATGCGTTCACACCATGACCGTTTAGTAAGGAGAACCAAAAGAGGGCAGGGCGAGTGGAGACAACAGGAAACGGTTCGCAGGCAGGGCCCCTGAGACTCCAGCAGAGAGCGAAATAACAAGATTCGAGGAAAAACCCAGCACAGATAGGACTTCCGTGTGAATTTGTTAAAATGAATGAAGAAAACAGAGGATGCTCAGTTCCGGAGATAGGGGAAACCAAAAGCTCGTATTCAAAAAGACTCCAAGAACATCTGGGTGGCTGATTCTACACATCGCCTTGGCTGGGTCACAGCATCCAGATGTTTGTTCAAACGGTATTCCAGATTATCTTTGAAGGTATTTTAAAAATGCGATGAACATTTATATCAGTAAGTAGACTTTTGGGTAGAGCAGGTAACCTTCTGCAGTGTGTTTGGCCCTCATTCGGTCACCTGGAAGCTGCAACTGAAAAGCTTAGCCTCTCCCTGCAAAAGGAATTCAGGGGTCCCTAGGTCTCAGGCTGCCGGCCCGCTTTGCACAGTTTGAACTCGGCAGCTTCCGTACTTGAGCCCTTTGATTAAGCCAGTTACTTAAAGATGAGCCACCACCACCACGCCCCCAGCATGACGGTGTCCAGAGAAAACCATAACTGAGCTGATTTTTGAAGACTACTAGGAAGGGAAACTAAAATTGCCAGAGCACAGAAGTAACCCAAGGAGCTGGCATGCAGGAGCAGCAGTTACAAAAGAAAAAGGCAAAGGCCAAGGTGCAGGTTTAGACTGGCATTTTCTGGTTGCATGATACTCAGCTGAGGGCCAGGCTGAGCTGCGAGAGTACATCTCATTTCCTCTCCCGCTGAGTCACCCCAAACCATCTGTAAAGACTGAAGATTTTAAAAACTAAAAAAAGGACCAGAAGATTGGCTCACCAAAGATGAGATGCTAGCCCTAAGGCGACTTTCGAAAACAATACAATACATGCGCACATAAGAGCAAAGTTTAAATCATCCAGTGTTAGCGGTAAGGATATTTGCACAGCCTGTCACTTTCTCCCCAGGAAACTGAAGCCAGCACAGCACACTCCTCAGAGTTTGTGTAGCTCAGTTACACAGAGGGAAGCAGGCCTGGAACTGTGGCTGCAGGCAGGACTTCTTCCACTCCCCATAAAGCCACTTTGAAATAATGAGAAATATTTTGTGGATTAAATGTTGATTTCATTAAAGACATGAAGCCTGATTTTTAAAGTATCCCATGTCTCCCTGAAAGAGACTTAAACCTCTGCCTGATGACCATGTGAAAGTAGTATTTATAGAAAAATCCCAGCTAGGCACTGCAATGCTAATAGGTAGTAATCAAATGGGAAGCACTTTGTGGAGAGGCGCAGAACTCAGTGGGTATAAATTGCTGTTTGAAGCTAGGCGTGGCTACTGCCCTTCTATGCAGAACAGAAAGAGACCTGGGGGCAGTCCGTGTTGCTGCCCCTCCACGCTTGCCCCAGGGCAGTAGCCCGACTGAGTAGATCAGAGCCTTCCAGTCTGTGGTGTGGAGTTGAAGTCTTCGGTACACTTCTAACTGATGGTCTTGACTCCTCCCTTTCTCCTAGTTTTGCTGAGATTTCTCACAAGGAGAAAAGCTCAGGGGCTCCCACTGATGCTGAGGGCTTGGGACAGACCTCGCGTGCTCTGGTCCACAGACCCAAACCAAGGGACTTCGCTGTGCACTGGGCTCTCGGTGGGTGGAAATAATACCGCATCCAGGAAATGAAAAGTACTTCTCCAGTCAATGTGGGGAGCTTTATCTGAGTTATCTTCTTCCCACAGTCCGTCCAGTGGAGCCAGCCTGGGCTGACCTACATGAATCTGTTCTCATTTCTGTTTCCAGAAGAGTCTTGAGGACAAGGAGTAAAAAATAGAAGCAAAGGACACAGTTGATCTTGCCTTCCCAGCCAACTCCTTCTCCCTTGGAGGTGTCAGTCCCTATCCTGTGGTCTCTGCTACCCCTTCCTAAAATTGCTCTTTGGAGAGAGTCCCTGAAGTTTAGCGTGGTATCCGAACACAGGATGACCAGTGATGGGCAGCCGCAGGCAGTTTGGGCAGGTTCCCAGTTGTGTCTGGACCACAGGAGGAGTCGCTCAGCTTCCCCCAAGTGGCCACGGAGAATTCAGCTCAAGGCTCAGGAGACACTGAACATGAGCATGAGCGGAGAAGCTCTCTGGTCCAGCAGGCCCCTTGCGGTGTGGTAGTTGCCTACACGGGGCCTTCTGCAGAGCCTTCACACGGTCGCTTTCTTTCTCGTATTCAAGCAGTTGCCAAATGTGTCCATGCAAGCTGTGCTTTAAGTGTGGCCCTTTCTAGGAAGAGTTAGCAAAGGGGAAATTCCCTTCTCCCCTTCAAGCTGTGCCGCATCCAGATGAACAGAATTAAATTCTCCTTTTCTTGAAACCTAGAAGCCGTGACCTTTTTTTACAGATAGATGTTTTGCAAGTGAGAAATAAATGGTAAGAGTCTGGTTTATTTTTCAGAAAAGTGTGCAAATGGAAGAAGCGGGGGAGAGGGAGGAGGGAGGGCAGGGTTGGAGAGGAGGGAGAGGAGAAAGGAGCTCGCTTCCTTTTCAGAATGGATGCGTAGCTTCGTGAGTCTGAACAGGAAGTCGCAGCCTGAGATTAAATCCCCAAGAGGCTGCGCCCAGGACACAGTGACCTGCACCCATCTGGCCCACTGCGCCCTGCCTTGAAGGCACGAAGACGCCTCTGACTTTCTCCTACGGTCCAATGATCGTCTTTTCTGTTTCTCAACGAAAATGAAATAGAAAACTGAAAAGAGTGACTTTCGTAGCTTTATTAGTTCTGTAGGCAGCGGATGAGGGGAGACAACCAATGGCTGTAGTGAATCTTAATGCCTCAACTTCTGGAATCATGATTTGCGGGGGTTCCAGGGCAGGCAAGAAGTCCCAGTTCTTGTGGATACCCGATCTTTTCTTTTTTCCTTTGATTGCCTTCTTTTTTTTCCCTTTCCTCCCTATCTCAACATCTCCCTTACACACACGCTTATACTAGAGGTGAAACAACCCAGGCCTCCATGCATGCCAGGCAAATGCTCTATCACGAGCTACACCCCCAGCCCACTGTCTCTTCTTTTCTTAAAGCATCAGAAGCATCAGGCAACAAAACTCTGCAACTTTACTGGAAAACTCTCCTTTCCAGTGTAACCACAAAACTTCTTTCCTAAACAGCCAAAATTTCTCTTGCTTTAATTTCAAGTGATTGCCTCCAGTTTGATGGTGCATTACAAGCTCAAAACAAACCAACAGAAGCACCTTAGGGCAATTCCATATCATTGCCAAGCCAAGTAATGGCCAGCACGAGGATCTCAACTCTCTTCTGTTTTCTAGGGTGCCCAGTTTAGCATCTGTCTTGATTACTGTTCTTGTTGCTAGGACAAAATATCTGACACTCAAAGTTAAAGGAGGAAAGGTTTATTTAGTTCACAGTTTGTAATGGTTTCAGTCCATAATCGGCTGGTTCTAAGGCAGGGTGGCTCAGCAGAGGGGCAGCAGTTCATAGTGGCGGAGGACAGCAAAAGCCACAAGAGAGAGAAAGACAGGGAGAGACAGAGAGGGAGAACAAGCCTCTTTCTGTCCCTTGCATTATATGCAGGCTATTCGCCCCAGGGTGGTGTAGCACTTACCCCCTTAACCCTAGCATTGGACCAAGAATCAATCACAAACTCTAGATTCAGCCACCTCCAAAAAGCCTGCCCCTGTGACCACATGAGGCTTTGGTGGGGGGGATATCTAGACACAAACCATAAGAGCATCTTTTTTGTTAGTATTTATTGCTTTTCTCTGGAGTGTAATATTTCAATACAAATCTAGGCTCAGAAATATTTCTAAATATTATTTAGAAATAACCCACA